TAACACGTGAGATTTTGAATAAAAGTTAAATTCATATTGTCGTGACAAGATCATCTATTATGACAGTGCAGACTGACCTCGTAGACACAAACCACAACCACACAAAAGTAGTAAACCATCAATTCTGAAGTGAGAATTTGGGATGAAATGAAATATTTCAAGTTGATATGATACGTGTTGATGACTAGATACAACAATGTAGTATTCTGATTCTGAGATGTATGTAAATGGCTAGATAGACTGTTGCATCTTGCAGTCACTAAGTTACCATGTACAGAGATATTAATAAATATCACGTGCCATATTACTCGATCAGTATTCCAATTATCGATCAGCTCACAGTTGCCTTATTTTACTAGTCCTTGGAAGATGTGACCTCACAACACATCTTATATGAAATCATACTTTAAACATAATATCGTAACATGTGATAGAGAACAGCACAAATAAGGCACTACAAATTACCAATCACCAAGGGGTAGTAAAGTGTACAGCACTAGTCAATAGATCAATTGAAAGCTTATAAACACTGTATTATATGATGGCAACCATACAGTTATCCGATGCTAATTACATAACAGAAATAAAAATGATGATAACCCCAAAAATTATCATTAATATGTCAAATTCCCTAACATTCATCCCCTTTTAACAACAAAATAATGATATGTGACCGTAAAATGGGTTATTCCAGGTAACTCAGACATCTCGACCACAACATTTGAATCGGTCTACTGAACGTCGAGAAACTATCAGCATCCCACTACCGATAAATATGAGCATAGCATACATTTAAATACCAGAGCATGATTTAAACAACCACAAGTGTTCGTTGTTACCAGTGATTGACCCTTTAAAGCAAATTACTCTAGATTTTCATGTTTCAGTATGTTGATTACAAATTGATAACACTATTTTATGGTCAGTTCAATTACATAACGTTCGAAACAATGACGTATTTCCATGCCATGACTAGAGGACACAAACTCTTGGGAATGATATTCAACAGCATATATAAAATAACTACTTTTATTACTTTCAGTCGAATCTGTGTAAACAGCATTAGTTAACTCTTTCAAATTGGCTACTCCTCATTAATGTACTTGGTTTTTGTTTTATTTCAAAGCTAATGAGCAGGCCCCCTCCCACAAACAGATTGTTCTCAATGGTTGGTGTGTACACATATATGTAACTGTAAAAATAATAAAATGTTTACACTGGAGAAATTGAAAATTACTTCTTTTGTAGAACGGGGGGGGGAAGGGAATTCCGTATTGACAAACTAGGTTCGAAATGATCTTGTGAAATTTGTAAGTGATTTGTGAAGATGACTTTCATGAAAAATCAACTGCAAAACTTAACAGTTAAGAAATTTGATAAGCAAACGGGAGTGCGGGAAATAATTGATATTCAACAACATTTTCAGTGGAGCACAACATGAATGTGTATATGCAACATAGAAAAGTGATCTTGATATAGGTGTAAAACTTGGCGAATTAAAAACGACAGAAGCCAATCAACAAACAGTGAATCTGCTGTGAAAATGATATTTTCAACAATTTGAATGTGGTTATGTGATAATTTGGAGTATTTGAATTATAGTCTGAAATAATAATCCCAGAAATAACGTAATCGGATTAAGAAGTACTAGATAACCACGAACGGATGTGCCGTATTGAGAATTCGATATCAAGCATTTAACAAGTACAATGGTATCATTAGTTCATCCAAACGCCACATCCGCCACATCTTAAATTGGAGTCTAAGTGTTTGTAATCAATTGTATGTCTTCTCAAATTCATCCCATATCTGTCCGACATTGTATTGAATAAAAACTATTATCTAGAATGCACTCGTTAGTATTAGAATTAACAACCGAAATCGGAACAGACTCACCTGCTTCCTGGGATCGTGTGATCGGCATGTCCTTTGTGTACTGAAACCGCTGCTATATAGAATTTGAACCATAGACTATCAAACTATCCTCCCCCACGAAATAGTGTTGGATCTCTATATCCCCAATTTATGAATGATGTGGCTTCATTTAAAATGTATTTCTCACATTGTTTAGAGTAAACATCAGAAGTGATTTTGTGATAAGGATAAACAGCAGTTGATATGAAAACACCCGAATTGTAATCACAAACGAGGTCATTTAGTACTTGTGCTTCGCATTGTACAAGTTTCCCACAAGAAACAAGTGCATTATGAGCACAAATAATATTTGGTATGACATCAAGCTTTGACTCTTCTGAAATAGTTTCCTCAAATTTATTAAGAATGTCATTACAGAGTAAAGGATCATTAGAAAAATCAGCATCTATCAAAACCACATCAGGTTTTCGATCATGACTAAGTTCATTCAACATATTTTCCTCACATTTGTAAGGAATTTTATCAGAAGTATATGAATCATTAGGAAAAGCAATATCTGGTACAATAACATGAGAAATTTGATAAATCGATTGATTAGTAACTGTTGTCTAGCAAGGATTCTGAGTTTCATTTAACTCTGAACTGCTATATGACTCTACACTGTCTCTTGAAATCGTTGATAAGGATAAATGATTATTAGGAACACTGGACTTAATAGAATCAGAATTACAAGACTTAATATGGGGTGATCTTATCCGCAACGCAACCATGTAAACCTAATGTATCGCACACTGTCATTTGTGCGTTCAAGTAACCACAGATTTTGTCATTTCATAATGTATTTTTAATTAAATATCTAGATTGTGTAGTTAATTTTTCTCTGTTTTTAATTTTTATTCGCCAAGTCCGACTGCGTTACACTGTACGTCCATTGCACGCTGAGATGATATCTCAAGTCATAGTGAGTTTATTCACATAGTTGATTGTTTCCAGATAGACTGTCAGTGCATGATTTTACTGAAGAAAGGTTTGTTGTACTGTAAACTGTGTTTCTATGATCAACTCCCTGTTGTCTTCAGTATGAATTCATACTGAATACTGCTTTAAAGCAGTATATATGTGTCCTTCTTTTTTTCCTAGGTAAGTTCAACTGGCCTATATTTCGTGTTTTGGTTTTATCAGCCTAATTATGTACATTTACCTACTTTGAGCAACATGTCTTTGCAAGTGAAACAATAACTACGACACTTGCTTAGTTTAGTGTTCTTGGTTGTCGTATAATTCAGTTTAGTTGAAATAATTATGATATACTTAAGTATAGTGCTTGAAGCCTGTAACGAAACAGATCAGTTTAGTAAGTAGAGTTGCCTGTTTCTAATGTGTATACGGATTCAGATCAGTCTGATTAAAAATAGGAAAAAACATGCCTTTGATGCTTTTGCTGTCATACATTATAAGATAGCGATAAGTATGTTTGGTGTTTATTTCTAAACTGTACATCCATCACTGGCCATATTTCATGATCACTGTCATTAAACAATTTCCCCAGCCATAACATCGGTAGCAAGATAGCTAAGTGTCTGAACTTTTAGTTGCCCGCAAAACAGCAGTATACAGTCTTAGAAGATGTTCTGTGTCTCAATTAAATGCAGCTGGCTGTGGACAAATGTTAAAAATCTTTTTGACAACTGGGACTTTAGTTTATCATACACTTACTCTGCTTGTATGTTTTCCTGTTAAACTAGACGCAGATGCATGGGAATACTTAAATGGGAGCAAAATAATAAAAGCATTGCAATACGGTACTAAACCCATGTTATGCTTTGCGCAAGTAATAGTAGCTGACCTTATCTAATATTCATGAACTCAAGGTAAATCACAACTGCATAAATTCTTTGCTAAAAAACATGTGATTTGGTTGTTTATATATTCCACATTTCCGACTAAATTCATCACCATTTTCTCATTTAGAATGCAACAGGAGTGGGTCTTCACAGACATTAAAAACTGTTTCGCCCTTGGAACTATGGCCCTATGGAACTGTTTACGGGAGATCCAACGAACAGCAGATTATAAAAAGGATGCTGGATGTCCATTTTAGTCTCACAACCACTTCCAGTATTTTCTGACTTCTTTTATTCTTTCGTTTGGAAAAAAACAACAAAAACTGCAGCTTAACATTACCAATACAACTTTTAAACGGGAACTTGGTTTAAACCTGTTTGATATTCGATTCTTAATGAAAGTTCTTGAATAAATTTCTGAATCTAATGCTACTTTGTTTTATCTACTTAATCGTCGCAAGAAACTTGTGATAAGCGAGCCTCTCAGCACCTAGTTCATGTGTTCACATGGTTGTGGACTGAATAGAAGCTTTCGCTTAACAGGCTTACGTGTCTAGTAGCAGGGGATCAACAATACCTCAAGGCAGAAAACTAGGTATGTTAACAATAAAAGAGGAAAAAGAAATTGGTAAATCATAGTATGATACTATACTTAGTCCTTAAGAATAAACCCAGTTGCCTCTTAAAGGACTCCTGGGAAGTCGCTTGGACTAGCTCGGCCGGCAGAAAATTCCAGCATTTGACAACTCTTAAGGAGGAGAAGTTGTGCCTACAGTCCGTTCTGCTATTTTGTCTCTAGTTTCTGGGTGTTACCCCTTAGGTTAGTGTTGGAACTAAGCTTAATTAGGTGTTTTAGGGGATGTCCAGAAGTGTTAAGGTTATTGTAAGTCATTAGGTCACCTCTAAGACGTCTATACTGTAATGAGTAGAGGTTAAGTGATTGAAGGCGCTCTTCGTAAGGTGATTTGGTGCATATCCTCGTCATTTCCTTGGGAGACCTACAGACTCGGGTCCTCTCATAGCTTATTCTAACCACCATGGGTTGTCACGCCAGCTGATGGATGGACACGCGTTACACATCCTAACCGTACCTGCGTCTTATCTTATAGCTTCTAATTCAAATGCCATATGACAAGCAAGCAATGCCCCTACCCGCACTAATGGAACACTATTAACTCAAATGCACCCCGTATGGTACCTTACACTGGTTTACGCACTCGCTTAGCTCTTTAGTGAAAATCCCATGAACCCCCCTACCTCCATCAAAACAAATAAGTCTGTATTTGCAGCATATAGCAATTTTATTATTCAAAAGTAAGATATAACAGTTAGAATTGGAGTAAAGTGGCAGTATACAGCAGATGCACGTGGTACATGTCTTCATCGATTAACTGAAATAGAGAATATGGATATTAGATTAACAGCCTTATTCAGAAAGACTAGTGTCTAATTTGAACTTACTGCGTGAGAAAGTTATACTGGAACTACGAATGTTGTAGGAATAGAGTTTCTCGGGGCGTACGAAGCACTCAGACTGTAAGACAGTTGTCCAAAAATAATTCGAATATGGAGGTGAAAATTTGCAGGTACTTTTCATCGTGAGGGTGAACATATTAGGTACCAGTTGACATCATACCGTAAGAAAACGCATATTTGCGAGTGGTGAAATATGATCTATGAAAAAGTGAGCTTAATAACAGTTAATTACCTTTTTACTCCTTGATCATGCCCCTTCGGCTTCCTTTTATAGCCAAAATAGCAAACATACACTAGACACTGGTAGCACATTTCCGGCTTTTCAATGTTAAGCTTGCTTTAACGCACTGAGTAATGAGTACAACCCCTCTATTACTGCTATATGGCGTATTTTTCATAACAAACCCTCTGCAATAGATTGGTAGCATCTGTGACTTCATCTATAGTTGTCGGAAGTCTGGGTCCTTTCGAAATCAGTACCGATATACCCTACTGCTGTGCACTCTGTATTAGTCTGACTCGTTGGTGGGATAGTGTTGTCCATACTACTGAAAAAAATTTAAAAAACGCAGACTGTTTCCTTTCATTTTGCCGATAACATCATAAAGGACAGTTAGGAACGAACATGCTAACAGTTAGAGTCACAAGCGGCAGCAACAATTATTTTAGCTAAATGAAAACGAACTTCGGCTTCGGATATCTAGAAAACAAGGTAAAACAACCGATTGTCGTTTGAAAACGTAAGGTCTTATGTTAGTACTAGCCAGCTTAGCTTAATAAATACAGTGACTTCATTAGCAGCAGGTAAAACCCAGAAAACAAAGCAAAATCAGGAAACACTTTGCCCCAACGTTCAGAGTATTACACTAGCTTCTGAATTTTAGCACACTGAAACATCAAATTCCGTAGCTACACAAAGGAAATAGCTGAAAGAAGCACAGAACGAAGAAAGCCGACCGCCATTGCTTACGAAGATGGCGGATGTAATAATTCCCGCCTCATTCTGATTGGTTGCTAAGCTGAAGGGCACATTTACGAAATTGAGTTGCGTTTAATTGCAGCCCTTAATATGCATTGCAGCACGATGAACAGTAGTATTACAAACTGACTGAATATGTCCAATATCACCACAATTAAAGCACTCAGAATAACGAAATTCACATGAATTAAAAGAGTGGAACCTGCCACAGGACAAGCATTGACCAAACTTGTTCCCATCTTCGTGAACTGCATCGCATTTCCTCAATGAATTATATGCATAACCTACAGTATGCACTGGGTTGGGGTGACGTAATGCAGTGGAATTTTTTATAACCTTGAGAATCATTTTACGAAATCTTCCTTTACCGCAATCGAAATTTGTATACTTAACATAGTCTAGCAGTAGTTGCTTGAGAGCTGTATAAGGAAGCGAAATGGAATTTTCCGGTAAAGCCAGAATTTTTAATAAGTCGTATGCTTCTTTTCCAGTGAATGTGAGGAAATGTGCCACAATATTAACATCCTCATTATCTTGCTTGGTCATAGCCCAAATTTTGAACATTCCCAAGTAATCATCAAAAACACCAAAATCTGAATGTATATACAACCCTTCCATCACAGACTCCATCAAGACGCGAATGTGATAATTTGGGGTATTTGAATTATATTATGAACTAAGAATCCCAGAAATAACGTTATCGAATCAAGAAGTACTAGATAACCACGAACGGATGTATTGTATTTAGAATTCAAAATCAAGCATTTAACAAGTACTAAGGTATCATTAGTTCATTCAAACACCACAGGTTATCATTCCACAAAAGGAATTGTCATTTATTAACTATAAACCATGTAACGTGAGATGACTAGCAAATCCATACACAACAATTCATAGAATACTTTCCAAATAGGGTCATGATTTGCATGAAATTTCACATTCGACTTAGAGATTATATTTCCAATAAATAGAAAATGTATGTAGCTCAGGAATTATATGTCATGTCTTACCAGTGAACACGAACTACTTAAAATCAAATATCAAAATACTGCATTTTATCATTCTTTGCTGTTTTGCTTGCTTGCTTGAGCATCTGGGCCACCTCTTTATGCCATCTGAATGTTTCAACAAGTTATCCGTTTTTGGTTGTTTTAACACATCACCATGTTTGTTATTCGCAAAGCTGTTGAGAAGCGTTTATGAAAAGCTTATAAACTTCCGCTGTACAAGTTGCATAAAAGCTCAACCAAAAACATCGTGGTTGTTGGCAATATGCAGCGAAAAAACGTACGTTAATCAGAATTCGATTCTTGGACTGCTAACTTCTGGCTGGCAACCACTCAATATATGTCGTCAGGATTGACCTAGAATTAGGAAAAAGAAACGTGTTAAAACACATTGTCCCGAGAATTTTATACTGTATCTAAAGCATAATGTCTGATAAAGCCAATACCGACTCGATTTTGTGACGAACAGTAAACTACAATTGAGATGTGCATAAAAGTATCCACGTATGTAATTACAGTGTCGTAACTGAAATAAATTCATTCTCATTAATTTCAATAGTTGAGATCATGAGTCGATTGAAGCTAGACTACCGTGAAAAACCTGTAAGCACTGGATGGTCGTTTCTTCCTGTTGTGGGACTCCTCAACAATTCGCATCCACGACCCTGCCATGCAGGATTCAAACGGCCGTCCAGTGCTTCCGGGTTTTCCACAGTAGTCTAGCTTCAACTGATTCATGAATTCGATTACTGAAATTACTACGATCTCCACAACACCTTTTCTGATATTCATCTTCATTAGTTGATTTGACTATAAAGGTCAAAACTTCAAGAAAACTGAGAATTTACACTTGAAATTCGTCAAGTGCATCATTTAATTTTACTTTTTAATGCTTTATATGTTCTATGAAAAGTGTGAATTTCATGTGGTTTACCGTTGCTTCTTCAAACGGTACTGGCTTATATTTCTGTATATATGACATTGATGATTTGGTCAATTATTTCGTCTCATGATAGCACTCGCCAAACATATGAACAATCATTTTGTCAATCACAAGTTCATTCCCACCTCTGCTATAATTTTTATAGGTAAATGTACTTTGGTCGGACAGTTTAGATACCGTGTGGTGGGAAATTAATAAATGATGTTCAGGAAGTTGTTGGTAAACACCTTGATATTGCCAAACATTTAGCTTATACTGGAAGTGTGGACATCGATGTTAGTTTGAACAGAAAACGTTGAAGTTGTGTTCACAAAATTAAGCCTTAGACTAACCATGTTGATAAGTGATTGATTCCAAGTGAATACGTTATTACTTTGAAAAACACCAACCTGGTTGTAATCTTTGCTGATCGTACTTAGTGTTTATTCTTTAATATATGTATAATTTCTTTGGCTCTGAGATCAACATGATAAATTGAATCGTGATTAATTAAGACCCAGTCAATCATCACACACGTGAAGCGTGTTATCTATGCGTGCTGCAATTAACTGGCATATCGAATACCTGAAAAGTTCAAAATAAAAATCGACTATGTTCGTGACACATTTAGATTTGTTTGTGTAAAAGGCGTTCACTGAACGACAATAGTAATAATAAAGATATCGACAATAGAAATAATAATAAAACTAACAGTGATAAAATGTTAAGGTCAAGATGGATACGAAGATGGCAAAGAATTCATTTGTAAACAGAGTTTTAATTCCATCTCCATGGATATTTAAGTGGTCTATTGCGTTAAGCAGTTACAGCTGATAAATTTTGAAGATATTGCTGAACTCCTTGTTATAACTTGCCAGTTGAATGCTACTTGTTCATCTAGTCGTCGCTGATTATTGTGTCTTAAACGCTTATCACATATACTCGGAACGAGGAACCTCAGAAATTTCCACGACGCAAAAGTAAGAACAAAAAGACTGAAGTAAGTGAAAATTTATTAACCCCGAAGCATGACGATGACGACAACAATCTTAGTCGAAAATACACTCGTTTATATGTTGATTGTACACCCATTTCGATTAATAATTAGAATGAAATCACATATATGAAAAATACTTAGTTATTACAACTCATATATAGAGCATAGTTCATGTCAATTAAACACAAGAATATCGTATATGATACAGAATAGAATATTACACTGGGAAACACAAACAAATACTACACTGAATGATCCTCACGTTGAATCAAAACGGAAGGTAATGTTGAACAAAACTCATAATTATTAGTTCAATCGAAATTTGACTTTTCTTTCCATCATATCACTATTCACAGAATCGTGTTGATCGTTTGACAGAGTCAATATAAGAAGCAGCAAATCTCAAACTAATTTCACTTGGTTCTGGCATCAACCATGTTAATCAATTGATTTCATTTTATTTGTAGTAAGATTGGGTAACGTGCAATGTTGCCTTGACAGTTCCATTGATGTTCCATTGATGATCTCAGTTAATCAGTAGTGAACAACTGCAAATATTCTACGCGGATATCAAGCTATTTCCTTGAACTATGCTACGTGAAATCTACTCACATGCTGTTTTCGCATCATACTCATGTCAGTTTAACTATTTTTGTTGATCAGGATGAGGTTGTGACCGCGATGGATTTTCTCACAAACAACAGTATAGTTGATTGGAAATCGACATCTACGTTTAATAGTCAGTGCATGTAGCATGGATAATGATTGTATTGACAACGTGAGTATGTGTGAGACATAAATGTTTAATGTTTAGCTTTACAGAGAGAGTGTTTCAGTGGAAAGGTCAGCTGAAGAGATAAACCAATACAATAGAGAAATGGATAACCTTGTCACTTTGTAAAAACAATCACGCATGAACCAGTACTAACAACCTAGAATCAACTCACAGTCCTTCATGCTTCTTCACGTTTTGCCATGTATTTTATATATCAATGTAATTGCTTTAACTCAATCATTGTAGCAGTTATCCACACTCTTTTGTGCACTGTTTAAACGAAACAGTTTCCACATTGGTTTGCTCTTGGTTTGTGTTTTGCATGTTGATAAACTGTTACCACGTTTAGACACAACTACCAGCTGTCTTTTGCTCTATCTTATGTTGTAATTCCTCTTTATGTTACTGTTACAGTGAGTCTTTTCTCATTTTATACAAAAGGACGCGTTAAACGTCACAGATACATAACAAGTGAACGGAATAATTCCGATGACGATCAGTTTCTTAACATGTTCTAGTAAGTTCGGTAGTTTGAATGTTCCGTTTCAACACATCTGTCAACAGGTGTCATTTACTAAGAGAATCGCATTGGTCAACCTACATGTTCTACAGTCAACTACAATTTCGTCAGTTTCTCTTCACATTATTCACACATAATTCAATGTTCTCCATGAAAGAAAACACGACACAATCATCATCTAATCAATTACTACTATTCAACCGATTGTATTTTCGTCTATTCACTGATTAATTTCAAAGAACAACACATGGTAAACATTGAATGAATAGTTTATTTACATTTCGTTACAGAATGTCATACATAGTGAATTGCAGCACAGTACATTACATTACACTACAGTACAGAAAACTACAGTACAGTTGATTACAATACAATAGTCAGTAGACGCATGAACACGAACATATACAAATTGCATTGAATGTACAATGGTTTAATGATGTAAGAATAAGAATAAGAACAAGAATATGAAGAGGAAGAAGAAGAAGAAGATTGTGAAAGGGGAACAGGTTTGAAATAGTGACCGATGTACATGGATGATTGATTTACACTAGAGCAAACCAATTACGCAAATATAAAACTGCAATAAAATATTCACTGATATCTAACATTCAACAGATAGATATTCAACAAATAGTTTACTTAATAAGAACTTTCATTATGATGAGTGATTGTCATTACCATGAATTGTACGTAGTTCACAGTGTAAACTTGTCCGTTCACTTACCACAAACATTCTTATTCATTCATGCGTAATCGTGTACAGTTTAGTGATTGGAGGAACATCAGAT